TCCTACATATAGAATCATATCATCTGTGGCTAGAGAGAGTTTTATTTCTGTTTGCCTATTTGGCTGCCTTTGATTTCTTTTTATTGCCTCATGAATCTGGCTAAAACTTCTAGTACCATGTCTTTGTCTGGTTCCTGTTCACAAGGAGAATGCTTTCAGTTTCTCGCCACTGAGTGAGATGCTGTCTGTTGGTTTTGTGTAAATGCCATTCATAATGTTGAGGAATTTCTTTCCTATTCCTATCTTTATTTTCTTTTTATTAGCAATGGGTATTGGATTTGGTCAAATGCTTTTTTTGCATTGATTGCTATGATCATGATGTGTTTTTTTTCTATTCAAAAATTTTATGTGGTGTGTTACATAGGTTGGTTGTTCTAATTTAGAAGCATCTTTGCATATCTGGGAAGAATACTCATGGGTCATTATGTACATATATATATATAATATATATTATTGTTGGACTCTATTGACTAGGCTTCTGTTGAGGATTTTTGTATGTATGTTTATGAGTGATGTTTATAATTTTATACTCTTGTATTATCTACCTGGTTTTCATATACTTGCTTCATAAAATGCTTGTGGGTTTGACATTCTTTTGTATATTCTGGAAGAGTTTGAGGAGCATTGGTGTCAGCTTATGTGTTAGACAGGGTTCTCTCTCTAGAGAACAATAAATAAACTATCTCAGCTTATTTCTGAATGTTTGGAAGAATTTCCTTGTGAAATTCTGGTATTGAATTTTTGTGTGTGTGTGAAGATTTTTAATGACCTGATCAATTTATTCTTTTGTTGTGGATCTGTTAAAATTTTCTAAGTCTGTCTGTGTTAGTTTAAGTAGAAAATATATGTCTAAAAATTTGTCCATTTTTTTCTGTTGTTGTTAACTGTCCTCCAGTCAGTTCCAACCCATAGTGATCCTATGTACAACAAAACGAAAACAGTCTTATGCTTGAGCCCATTGTTGCAGCTACTGTGTCAATTCATCTCATTGAAGACCTTCTTTTACGCAGTCCCTTTACGTTACCTTGCATGATGTCCTTCTCCAGGGACTAGATTGATCTCTCCTGACAACACATCCAAAGTATGTAAGATGAAGTCTCATCATCCTTACCTCTAAGACAGATTTGTTTGCCCTTCTAGCAGTTTATAGTACTTTCAATATTTCTTCAGCACCACAATTCAAATTTAGTTTTCTTTAGTTGTCTTTATCAATGCATATGAAGCCATTGAAAATATCATGGTTTGTGTCAAGCTCACTTTAGTGCTCAAAATAACACCCTTGATTTTTAATCCTTGACAACTTCAACCTTTTCTCCATTTATCATGAAGTTACCAATGATCCAGTTGTGAGGATTTTGGTTTTCCTTGCATTGAGTTGTAATCCTTACCGAAGACTGTAGTCCTTGATCTTAACAGAAATTGCTTCAAATCCTCCTCGCTTTCAGTGAGCAAGATTTTGTTATTTGCATTCCACAGGTTGTTAATCCTAATGCCCCATTCTTCTTCATATAATCCAGTTTCTCTGACAAGTTGTTCAGCATACAGATTGAATAGGTAATATGAAAGGTTACAACCCTGATACATGCCTATTCTGATTTTAAACAATGCAATATTCCTTTGGTCCATGTTCAAGTTCCTCAAGAGCACAATGAAGTGTTTTGGAATTCCCATTCTTCTCAAGGGTATCCATAGTTTGTTTTGATTTACATAGTCAAATGCCTTTGCATAGTTGGTGAAACAAAAGCAAACATATTTCTGGTATTCTCTGCTTTCAGCCAAGATTCATCTGTCAGGAACAATCATAGACCTTATTCCATGTCCTCGTCGGAATTCGGTCTGAACTTCTGGCAGCTCCCGGTCAAGATACTGCTGCAGCTGTTGTTATGTGATCTTCAGCAAAATTTTATTTCCAAGTGACATCAATGAAATTGTGCTATAATTAGAAAATTCTGTTGTGTCACCTTTCTTTGGAGTGGGTAAAAACATGAATTTCTTCCAGTCAGTTGATCAAATAGCTGTTTTCCAAATTCCCTGGTACAGATGAGTAAGTGCTTCCAGTGCTTCATCAGCTTATTGGAACATTTCAATTGGTAATTCATCCAATCCTGGAATCTCATTTTTGGCTAATGCTTTCAGTGTAGCTTGAACATCTTCCTTCATCACTATTGGTTCTTGCTCATGTGCCCCTTTCTGAATTGGTTGAATGTTGACTAGTTCCTTTTGGTACAGCGATTCTACGTAGTCTTTCCATATCCTTTTGATGCTTCCTGTATCATTCAATATTTTGCCTATACAATTTTTCAATATTTCTACTAGAGGCTTGAATTTTTTCTGTAGTTGTTTCAGTTTGAGATATGCAGAGTGTGTTCTTCTTTTTTGATTTTCTAACTCTAGGTCATTGTATATTTAATTATGATATTTTACTTTGTCTTGTGGAGCTTCATCTTGAAAACTTATTTTCAGCTCATTGACTTCATTATTTCTTCCATTTGCCTTATCTACTCTACAATTAAGAACAAGTGTGAGTCTCTTCTGACATCGGTTTTGATCTTTTATTTCTTTCCTTTCTTTTAAATGACTTTTTTTTTTCATGAATGAATGATATTCTTGATGTTCTCCCACAGCTGATCAGGTCTTTTGTCATTAGTCTTCATTGCAGCAAATATATTCTTGAGACATTCTTGAACTTATGGTGGTCCATTTCTTCTTGGTTTCCAAATTTGTTGGAGTACAGACCTTCCTGATATCATGTTACAGTAGAACCCCAGACCTTGACACTAATCCATTCTTTTTCCCATAATAAATAACCCTAACCTTCCCTTTTTATATAAAACATTACACAGAAATTTCAAAGTTCAGAGTTAAATAATATAATTTAAATAAGAAGCACAACATTAAAAAAGTTTTAAACAACTACAGTATGGCCCATACCTCGAGATTGATGAGGATCTGGATCTGTGGACATAGATGTGGAGAGAAAGTATGGAGAGAGAGTCATTGTTTGGAAGGGGATTTCTCTTCCATAAAATCAACTCATATCTGCTTTTCAGGAGTTTTTTTTCCCCTTCTTTGCCTTTTTTTACTAGGACTTGCCTGGCTTTCTGCTGCCTGCACCCACCCAAATTTGTCTTATGTGGTCTGCTGTTGCAATTTCCTTAACTGTTTTCTAAAAGGGTTTACTAAATAATCATCAACAATATCGATAACACGGTTAACCAGTTCCTTATCATGATGATT